ATCCTAAATTCTCCATAAAAGCAGTTAACTAAAACAATACTATGGATCATCCTTTAAAAAAGAAAAACATTATAGACGAGTATTCCACTTTTTTTTTCTTTTTTCTTTTTTTTTTTTTTTTTTTAATTTCTGAAGCAGATAAAGAGTTTAAAAAATTTACTATAGGGTAAGTTGGAGTATAAAACTGCACTTGCACACACATACACATGTGTACACAGACATATGCTTTGCTACTAGTTCTTGTAAGTATATTAAACTACCAAAGCATGGTCTTTTTTTAATTGCTTAGAATAGAAACATCTCAGTAATATTTTTTCCAGAGTAGGCAAAAAATGAGTCCTCAACACCATGACACACTGGAAGGAGGATGCCTTCCAATCTTGCATCTGTACTGCTGGCCTGCCAAGAACAAGTCTTTAACAGTAGTCTGAAACTCTGGCACAGGAATGTGATTTTCTGCACTGATTAATGCTGATCTATCTGCCTGCACCCAGAATAAAAGTCAAAGGATCAGGAATGCCAGCACAGTACTGGTATGTTTGAGGCAATGATCTTGCCAAAATGCTACATATTTAGCACTCTGGAACTGATGAAATGAAAACTGTTGTTAGAAGACTTGAGTAATTTCAGAATAGAAACAAAACATAATAAATTATTGACATTATTCTCTTCCTTTAATATAAATTTCATCTCTTTTGAAATAATGCGCATTTCTGTATTCCTTTGACACATCTATTCAAAACTTCAATATTAGACAGAATTACATTTGAGAATATCAATAACAGTTCTGTTAAGTAGAAATTGTTCTTAGCAATGAAAATACGTCAACGGAAACCAAATATATGCACTACCAGTACAAAAAACCTCAATACTGTAATGGCTCATAAATATTAGATTACTGAGGAAAAAGCATTTTACATGTGATGTCTGATCACATAAACATGGCTGTGCTCTACCAGATCAGGATTACAGTTTTGGATGTTTCAGTTAACAGTAAGACAAGGAAGACCTTCCTATACAATGACCAAAAGAGAAATTACCAGTCAGAGTATAAGGATATACTTGTACAACAGTGGAAATGAAACCAAATATATGTTTTTCAGTTTTCTCAGCCCTAAGTCAAACAGTAATTTTTAAACTCTTTTAATTAAGGGGTACAAGGATATTCTGACTTTAACTACCTCTTCTACCTTGACATTTCAAATTACCCAATCAAAAGTCATTAAAGACCACCAAATAATAATTAATTTTGGTAAAAGTAAAGGCAGAACTAGTGAACAGTTTTAAAGGATGTTTTAAATTATGCTTTATAATATCATTCAGCCAAAACTCCATGAAACCTTTTCTTCTCTCATTCACACCCACTTTGGGGTGGCTACAAGACTAACATGCTGTCTTGTTTCCTGCCTTGTACTGTCTTTTCAACTTCAACTTGGTTTGCCACTTACTGGATGCTTCTTGCTCAGGTTTTTTTCACTTTTTTCCCTGTTACTTCAGGAACTGAAGAGTGGGGCAGCAGAACTGCCTTTATAATGCCATGAGAGACAGGTTTCGATGGAAGTTGACAGGTCTAGTGTTTTCAGTTATTTCAGCAAATGTGGCAGCACCAAAACTTTAAGACATATGGACAGCCAATGCCAAAGTTACAATGCTGATGAACCCTAAAAACATTCAAAGGAGAGCACTGCAATAACAGTAATCCAGCGTTAAATATGATCAGTACAGTAAGTGGTTTATTATTCATTGAAGAGAAAAAAAATCAAATAATAGACCACATTTGTTATGGCACTTGCTTCTAAAACTCCCCGCTTCTGAAAGTCTGTAATATGTCACACCATTTTGCAATAATTATGTATAATAATCAGAGCGAGACACCTCTTTCAACCTCCTATTGATCATGGCTCACTTCAAAGCAATTTCTAACTTACAGGCTGTGGTTCATGCAAAACTCCCTTGCATTTGCCTAGAAAAACATATGAATATATTAAATATATGAGTAGATCATACGAGCTGCTGAAAAAACCCGCAAACCTGGCTCTATTGAGTCTGGTTTCTCATCTATAGCAATCATTTGTTTTACCAGGAGGTGAACAACTTTTTCAAGCCTCGGGTGTCCATGATTTGGCAAGGAAACAACAGGAGAGTTCTACAGAAGCCCATAGGAATTAGACCAAGTGACATTAAGGACACATCCAGCTCTCTATTGGAGATTATGACAGGCATGCAGAAGAGGAGGAAATGGTAAGACATATGAAGATTGTGGCATAGCTCTTCATACCTTTCTGCTTATAGGCAGAGATATATCAATAATTCCTAGCACATAAATAAACAAAACTCTGACATGTTGATTTACTAAAGCAGAAATGGCAATAATAATAAAACCATTAAAACTCCATAAAGGCCTTTAATGTGTCTGAAGATATTTTCATTACTGCAATAAGCGTTAAGTGTTTCCTTTGCTGTTAACAGTTTTTATGGCAAAGCTTTGAAGAATGCCTCACAGGTTATCAACAAAGGCTCTATCTGTGCATATAAAATAGGAACAAACTAAACAATCCAGAAAACTACTTTCAAGTTGTGGTCCAGGACTAAAGTTGGAATCACGACAGGACAGATCTATTACTGGTCTCATCAGGCACAGTCCCAGTGGAAGGAAACCATCTCAATTGACACCAGCTGAAAGTATACTCTGATGCATCCTTATTCACTCTCTTAAGTCCACATTTTTCTTTTTTCCTTCTTATTTTCCAGTCACCAACACCCTTCTGGCCAGTCACTAATAGTCTTTAAAGGCTGATCTTCCTGTTAGTTTGCATTTGAAAATGAATCTCAGATGCAGGAAATGAAAGCCTTCCTCTCAAACATAAAGCAGATTCCAACTGAAAACTAAGGAATTCATGCTTCAAACCACTCTCCGAGGATGTCTTTCTCTATTGGTAACATTTGGAGATGTTTGAAAGGGAGCTAATGAGGACAGGTTTATGTGACTGGTTATAATTTTACCTTCCCAACTGCACATTTCGCATTTGTCTCAGTGAATTATCTGGTAAAATATTTAATGACAATGAATAGTTAATAGGCTTTGTAACCAGAGAAACGTTTTGAGCTAAAGTTTCAAAAATAGTCTGTAAAGTGAGCTTGCATAAAAACGTACAAATGGCTGATTGCTCGAAAAAATTTAAAACATTTAAGCACATATAAACATAAAATGTTGTAATTCTTCAAACCACTAAAGATCGATGAAAAGCAGAGGGGGAACAGGTAGAAAAGGAACTGGGTAAGAATCAGGAAAACCTATATAATTAGCCCATTTTACAAGCCACATGAACAACCCCAAAGGTCTTCCAGTGTTCACCAGCCAAATCTTTCCTGCTGTCCTATTAAAAAGATTTTAGCCAAACCAAGCTTTTCAGAGAATTAAACTAATTGAGAACAAGAAGTCTTCCTAATGAAGTGGCATCATGGAATTTTCATGGATCGCTGTGAGGAGAAAAACTTACTCGATGAAGCTGTCAGACCTCACCAGTCCTCTTCCCACCTGCCTATTACCTGCAGAAGCTCAAGAGAAGTAGGAAGCTGCCGTTCAGTGTGGTTCTCTTCTCTCCATGCTTAGGAACTGCAAAATATAACTATGAGTCTCCTGGGCTTCACTAAATTAATTTTCCAAAGAGCTCTTCCATGGCTTTAACAGACAGTGGAGTGGGTATTGACTGAATAGGCTCAAACCCTTGACTTTCAAAGAAAAACTGAAGACCTGTGATAAGATTATTTTATAGAGTCTAACCCTGAAAGAGGTCTGCCGTATTTGCTGTGGCTGAAGGGCACAGTAAAAATTTGCATCACTGATACCTTCAGAATTACTGGTAGATGACAATTACCATTTATTTGCAGCACGGTAATACAGAATAGTGTCTCAGTGTGTAGAACGCGAATTAAATTCGCCACAATTTTTAAAAAAAGAAAGTAAAAAGCAGCAACTATTTATCTACATTTGTCAACTTTTTGAAAAAGTTAACAAATTATTTTAACAAAAAACATATTCATCATTGCTTTCATATCCATGAGACCAGAGAAAAGTAATGTTTGAAGAAAGACTTTCCTTTGAACAAGAAGAATTGGGTTAGAGAACACCTAGGCAAACTTGACATTCACAGTTCCATGGACCCTGATGGGATGCATCCATGGGCGCTGAAGGAGCTGGTGGACACTACTGAGGCTGCTCACAAACATCTTTGGAAGGCTGTGATGATCAGGAGAGGTGCCTAAGGACTAAGAGAAAGTAAATGTCACCCCAGTCTTCTAAAAGGGTGAGAAGGAGGACCCAGGGAACTATAGGCCAGTCAGCCTCACTTCAGTGCCTGGAAAGGAGGCCTTCTCTAAGGACATGGAAGGCAGGAAGGTGATTAGGAGTAGTCAGCATGGATTCACTAAAGGTAAATTATACTTAACCAACCTGATTGCCTTATACGATGAAACAACTCCCTGGATGGGTAGAGAAGATACTGTCTGCTTTAACTTCAGCAACACAACTGTCTCATAACATCCTCATAGGTACAGTCAGGAAGGGTGGACTGGATGAGTAGAGAGTGAGGTGGATTGAGAAATGGCTGAATGGCAGATCTCAGAGAGCTGTAATCAGTGGCACAGGGTCTACTTGGAGGCCTGTCACCAGTGATGTGCCCTAAGGTTCAATACTGGGTCCAGCATCATTTAACTTATTCATCAATGGCTTGGATGAGGGGGCAAATGCCTCCTCAGCAAGTTGCTGATGACTGGGAGGAATGGCTGACACCTCAAGGGCTGTGCAGCCCTTCAGAAGGACCTCAACAGGTTGGAGAGACGGGCAGAGAAGAACTATCTGAAATCTAACAAAGGTAAATGCTGAGTCCTGCACCTGGAGAAAAATAACCCTGTGCACCTGGACAGGCTAGGGTCCAACCTCTTGTAAAGGAGCTCTGAGGAGAAGGACCCGGCAGGTGAGCCAGTAGTGTGCCCTGGTGGCCAGTGGTACCTTGGGCAGCATCAGGAAGAGTAATCCTGTGCCATGTGCTCTGGAATGGCCCTGCTTGAGTAGGGAGGTTGGACCCAATGACCCAGTGTGGCCCCTTTCAACCTTAACCATTCTTTGATTGCTCTGATTATGTACTATCAAGCCATTTTTTACCTACTCACCTGTTACAGAAAAAACACTTGCCACGGCTGTTGTCCTGAAATGTATGAGCATATTGAATGTATTAACTGTCACAGGTGTTTACAAAAACAGGAATATAACAAAAGAACAACCCACAATATCTGTTGCTTAGTCACATAGTCTCTACTGTTATGTCAGTGATGCTTGATGTCACTAAGCAGCAGATATTTCTGCAACAATTCAATTTAGGAAAGTTATACCTTTCTACTGATAAAGGTACACTTGCCAGAAAGATAAATGCTTATAAACGATTTTACAATTAGGATATATTTCATGCCGATGTATACATTTAGGAGGAAGTAATTACTGTAAAAATGTGTGTGGGTTAGAATATTGTAAAAGTGAATTTATCCACAGATTTTGTATTAATAATATTTCTTGTGGTAGCCTAACAGGCACAGTGAAGTACTTTTCCTCTATAATAATTTTTGTGCACAAATATTTAAATGTTAAAATTAAATAAATTTAAAATTTAAAAATTCGGGTGCTTGGTTTCCTTTCGGCTTAGTCTCCTAAGGAAAACAAATATAGTCAACATAGTTATCTGTCTGTCATTCCCTGACATGAATTTTGAACTCAATAGGCAGTTTCAACCTAAAGGGAAAAGGTCTACAAAACATTAAAAATCTTCGAGTTTTCTTTAAATTTGGAAATGGGAGAGAAAAAACTTCCTATTAATACTTCAGCCAACAAAAGTTTTAAGATCATTTTTAATTAGACATCAAAAATTTTCATAAAAAGAAACAGCTGAAACAAGGCTCTCAAAATTTGTTTCTAATACATGTCCAGTATGAGGTTCAACAAGACCAAGTGCTAGGACCTACCCTTTGGCTCAATATCTCCAGGCAACTGGGATTGCTTAGCCTGGAGAATAAGAGACTCAGGGGTGACCTTATTACTCTCTACAACTACCTGAAGGGAGGTTGTGGTCAGATGAGTGTGATGGCCTTTTTTCCTAGATACCAGCCACAGGACAATAGGACATATTCTTAAGCTGCACCAGGGGAGGTTTAGTTTGAACATTAGAAAGAAATTCTTCACAGAAAAGGTGGTCAGGTATTGGAATGGTCTGCCTAGGAAAGTGGTGGAGTCACTGTCCCTGGAGATGTTTAAAGAAAGACTGGACACAGGACTAAGTGCCATGGTCTAGTTGACATGGCAGTGATTGGTCACGGCTGCACGCCGTGATCTCAGAGATCTCTTCCAACCTAATTGATTCTACAATTCTGTGATTCTATGTACACAGCCTCATTGTGAAACATTTCATTTAGAGGACTTACCTGCAACTTTTTGAAGTTTGGTGTTTTTTTTTTTTTTTGCTTCAGAATAAAACCATAAGATAACAAATGCCTAGATGTTTATCTAGCCATATATAGGGTATGAAAATCTGCTGCGAGTAGGATGTTTCCCTGAGAAAGTGCTATCAGCTTCTGCCAAATCTAAAAAATACATTTCTAGTCCTTCTGGTTTAAATGAGAATTTTCCAATGTTCTCTGAGCAGCTAGAAGGGAAGCTGAAGAAGACTAGTACACAAATACCTGTCTGACGCACAACTTTTAAGGGCACCAACTACATACAAAAAGCAGAGAAGGAAGAAAGCTCTTTTTCTTTTTACCAGTCATTGAAATATGATTTCTTATATATCTAGGAACACTTAAAGGTATTCAACCACAGTTACCAAGCTAAATCCAGTATCTCCTCTGTTTTTTGCTGCCAGAGTATTACTTTGTTATCACACTATTTCTTATGAATAATTACCTCAAAGCCAGTTTTAATTAAATAAAACTAGTCCTGATTACTAGGTACTCCTTAAAGTGCTTCTGGATGCACAGATAAGATTGGCTAGAGACCTCTGCAGTGACTGTAAGTGAAATAAGTTTTTCAACATCTTGGTCATGTGAAACACTATACAAGCACTAGGTATTATGGCCAGTGCTCGAGAGTTTTTACGTCACAAGAACATCTGTTATTCTTTGCAGGGGTGACATCCAAAGGTCTTTGGGACTCTGCACTATTCTCTGATCTTAATGGACGATGCTGATGTGCTCTGTAAGAACTTATGGGAAAGCAATTGCTACCTCAGACTGTTACAATCAGCATACTGGGGAAATCTGTTTTTGTTACCATATGTGACACTACGCAAGTCCCTAATGCTGTTGCACCTGAATGAGGGTAAAAGCAATACCAGAGTCTACCTACAGGGAAACTGACAAGGGAAATAGTCTAGATTACACACCCTCGGAAGCTACACAGCGGGCAGCAGCACAACTCCCTTGCAAGTTTATTTAACGTATGCAGGAATAAATCTGCTCCTCTAAATCTGGTAGCTGCTGTAACTGTTATGCTAACTTAAACAGCTACCTCCAAATACTTAATTCAATTTACTAAAAATTTTACTACTGCTATCTAAAAGGCAGTGTATTAGGACTAAGGAAGAAAAATAAAAATCCAGGTCTATGAGTGTTCATACTTACGTCCTTTCTAGTCCTACACAAAAAGCTTCACTTGTAGTTTCTGCTGTTTGAGACAGAACAGGAATAAATCATTCCAATTCTGTCACATTTTGCCAAGTGCACTCAGAACACTGGGGTATTGGCCACTTTCCCCATGCCCCAATCAACAAAACTATTTATAAAATCTTTTACACTGTAATATAGAGTCAAGAGAGTTCATACATTACTTCTGGCTAGTAAAGAAAACTAGCAAAGAAAAAATATTCAGAAATATACTGAAGTTTGTGTGCCTCTGAGGAAGACAACTGCATACATATTAGGTAATAATACCCTGTTTCTTTTGATCTTCTCAACAGTTGCAGGCTGTTAGCATGAAAGAAAGGTATGTGTGGCCAGAGAAATTTGCCTCACACAGCGTTTCTTAAGGAATCAATAATGATGAATTGGAAAATGTTCTGTAGCCCTGACCACCAGCAACTTACTTACATATTATGGCCAGGTATGCATGTTCAAGCCCTCAGCATAATGCTTTGCCACTGGATCCACTTAGATTCTTCTAAGATTCCCACTGTATAAGCAAAAGTATCCTTTAGCCTTTTAGGCACTCTTTTATACATATTTTTCTACCTTTCCAGATAATGAATTCTTACAATGCCTTAATATATTTGCAACACAACTCCTTTATACTGGTACCCAGTTCTAGTATCAGCACATCTTAATTGCCAAGTTTTCCCAGTGAAACAACGTAATAATAAATTTACAGTAACTACAAGTCATTTCAGATTTCCATTTGCCTTGAAGCTTCTTGATATATGTCATTTCAGAGGCAGAAGAAATCGGAGAAAGAAAAGTAAATGTTAATAAAAGAGCCCAAAGTAAGCATCAGTCAAAACTCCACAAAGATTTGTGCAGTCCTACCGAAGATTTCCATGTCTTTCTTAACTCTATAAGACAAAGCAATAGATCTGGACTTTTAACAAGTCTTTTTACATAAACAGAACTAGTGCTCATACATGGCAATGTTTTTCAGAGTACTGCTTTCCATTTCCTGTTTGTTGGGGGTTTTGTTTTTGTTGGTTTGATGTTTTTTTGGCAGTGAAAGTTACTTTAAAAAATTTGTCTTGAGTGTTAACCCTTATTAATGTTCTCATCCAGGGTACTACAAAAGATATCACACAGCACAGCAGAACTTTCCTAGAATTTGGTAGTTTTATTCCCATGCACATACATATGGGGAAAAAAAAAAAAAAAGGAAAATTAAAAAAGGCTGCTCAAAAATCTAGGTGAGAATTTATAATAAATTAACAAAAAGTCAGGTAGCAGCCCATGCCCATTTCCATGGAAAAAAAATCATATATAACTGTTAAATATACAACTGTTTAAATCCATGAAGGTCCTTGATTAATGAGTATGAATAAATTGTTCACGCATTCTGTGAGCCACATACTAACTGTTCTCAGGCTGCAACCTGTTAAAGGCTACTGAAATGTGTGTGTGTGGGGGGGAATCCCAACCACTCACACCTTTTTTGTCCAGACAAATCATCCAAAAAGAAATTAATAAAGCTCGGTGTTTTCATAAGACTTCGTATCTTCAAAGAACCGAGTGCACATTAGCTAATCAATGAATTCCCCTGTCTTGAACCCAAAGTGAATTAGAGGGATGGAGGCCAAATCACCAAAGTTCAGGCAAGCGTGATGAGCTTCATGCCACGGGGACTGGCATGAAGGTCCAGCGCTCCTCTGCTTCATGGGGCGCCGCCCCTGCCACAGCTGAGTCCAGCCAAACTGTCACTCATAAAGGGGTATCTAAAAGTCACCTTCAGCAACCTCTGCTTGAACAGTATTCACTTGGAAGCTCTGGTACAGAGGATTCACCTTCCATGTGCCTTTTCTGCTCTAAGCCAGGACGAACAAAAGGTTCCTAAGCAAAAATGCAACCAGTTACTTCGGTGAGGGGAAACGCAGGCAGGGGCGAGATGGGGGGACAAGGAGCCCAGCAGAAGCTCACTGCCTTGGTTGGCTAGGGTCATTGCAAAGCAGTTGCCACCTTTGGTGAGCCAGCTGCACTCCGGATGCCCGGGATGCCCGACCAGCCCCAAGGCCGCCTCAGGGCACTGACCGGCTCGTGGAGCCTCCAAGTTTTTGGCACTGAAACGTGACACGGAGGGCGAGGGGAGTATCACCACGCGGGAGAGGCAGGACCTTCCTGCCCAAAACTGCCGGAGGGGACGAGGCGAAGGCGCACACAGCACATCCCTGCCTCCCTCGGAGTTTATTTCCTCCAGCTCGCTCTCTCACCGCCGTGCCCGCCGGGTTTGAAGAGCCCGGGCTCGCCCCCACCAAGGCGGGCCGGGGAGGCGGCCCCACCGCCGTCGTCGCCGCCGCACACAAAGCGACCGCCCGCCGCCACCGGCTGCTGCGAGCGACGCCCAGTCCCCGCCTCAACCTGCAGCCTATGAGCGAGGAGGCACCGCCCCGAGCGGCGGCGGACCGGGATCGGGATCGTACCAGCGCCCGCTGCCGCGCACCGCCGAGGGAAGCGCCGTGGTCCCGTCCCGTGCCGCCGCGTCCCGTCCCGTCCTGTCCCGTCCCGTCCCGTCCCGTCCCGCGGCCCCGCGCCGCGGGGAAGGAGGCGAGAGAGCGGTGGGTGCCGCCGCCGGGGAATGCGCGGGGGCGCCGGGAGCGCCGGGAGCGCCGCCGTTCGCGCCGTCCGTCCGCAAGGTGTCGCCGTCGGCAGCGAAACGCGGGCGGCTCCCGCCGTATCTCGATCCCGGTCCGGGTCCCGGTGCAGACCCGGGAGCGCTGAGTGCGGGGTCGGCCGGGCCTGTCCGCCCGCCCACCTACCCGCCTGCCTGGGTCCGGCCCCGACAGCGCGCCCGCGGTAGCGGCGGCGTGAGAGCCCCGCTCGCCTGCGGCGAGGCGATCGCTGCTGGGCCAGTGCTACTGATCATGTACAGAGCCCCGAGTCGGAGCGGCTCTCTCGCCCAGCCACTTCCCTCAGTCCCTACTTGTTTATTTATTTTCAACTCCCCCGGGTGTTTGCGCGCGAGGTCGCAGCGCCGGGTAGCGGGGGGACACCGCTCCGGAGGCGACGTTTCCCCCGTGCTTGGGGCCGAGGGGGAGCGAGGAGGACAGGGTACACAAGGGGCTGGGGGGGGGGCTCAGCAGGGCCGATCCCGGGACATCCGAGCACCCTCCCGGAGGATAAAGAGCGAACGGGGCTTTTGGCGCCAAACGCGCGGCCCCGCCCTGCGCGCGTGGAGGGGGGGCAGGGCCGCCGCTCCCGCCTTTCTCCCCCTGTTTCCCAGCGCTCCTTCCCGACTGTGTCATGGGTTTTTTTACCGATTTTTTTTAATGCTTTTTTGGGGGGTTAATAATATCCAGCCGCTTCAAAGCCAGGCAGTGACAGTCATCTGTCTGCGAGCAGAGGGTGGATGCGGAGGCCGGGCGGCCGCGGGGTCCGGCGGGCGGGCGCGGAAAGTGCCACAGACACCATCAGCTGCCTTTTTTTTTTTTTTTTTTTTTTTTTCTCTCCCCTTCCCCCCGCTACTCCTCCCCCTCGCACACCCACCACCATCACCAAGGAGGTAAGAAGAGGAAGCTGCAGGCTCTGGGCTGCAGGACAAAACCCCAATCAAATAAATCCAATTCTCCATCGCGTTTGAGTTGCCGAGAGGAGGATGGGGCGGGAAGGGGAGCGCAGGGGCAGAGCGGAGCGTGAACGGGGTTCTCACTGAGTAGAAGAAAATCCTAGAGGATATTTGTGTTTTGGTTTGGAGCTGTCGCATTGAGATCGCTAGTGTTTTGTAGGTGCCTCTTTACTGCTTTGCATTTTAAACGGTTTAATGTATTTCCCTAGTAGAAAAATGCACAGTCCGGGAGGCGCTCAGGGGGCGGGGCAGCAGCGCAGCTGAGCCGAGCCGGGCGCGTTTCTCGGCGTTTCATCATAAGGCTTTTCATGGATTTTTTCTTCCCCCCCATTTGGTCTCCGTTTCAGCGTCAGCTGTTGTGAACCCAGCAGAA